CACGCCATCGTGTTGAACGAGGACGACACCGGTGCCATAGCCAACAACTCCTTCCGTAAACCTTCGCTTTGAGAGCCAAAAAGGAAGCCCGTGCATCATTGTCGAAGTCAAATGGTCGGTCCTCACATTGAAGCTTTGGTCAAGTTAGCCGCTGGTAGTGGTCGACTAAGCCGAGAAACAAACTGACATCCGTGACATTCTTCCGCTCCGACCACTTTTGGACGGCTTGAATCTTGTCTGATAACGGACTAACGCCCTCCAATGTGACAAAATGGCCCAAGTACAACTCTTGATGTACGAACTCGCACTTGTCACACTCAACTTTGTACTTGGCACGACGAAACGTCTCCAACACACGTCGAAGATGCTGGACATGGTCCTCCAAGTTCCGACTAAAGACGAGGATATCATCCAAGTAGACCAGCACAAACCGGTCTAACATCGCGAGGAACTCGTTGGTCATCGCCGCTTTAAAAGTCGTCGGGCAATTGATAAGGCCAAAAGGCATGACCATCCACTCAAAATGCACGTACCGCGTCTTGAACGAGGATTCGAAGTGATATTGCGGATAAAGCGAGATTTGATGATATCCCGACTTCAAGTCCAATTTGGAAATGGACTACCCAAAAGATTGAAGTACGCCCTCACACCATGGGAATGGACAGACACGTGCGAGGCTGCTTTCAAAAGATTGAAGTACGCCCTCACACATCATGAGATTCTCATGGTCCCCGATCCGGAGAGGTCATTCGTTGTGATCACTGACACAAGCCAATATGGCATTGGCACAATGTTGGCCCAACAGGAAGGGAAGAAGTTGAGGCCGATCGAGTACATGTGCAAAATGCCATCAAATATGTTGGCTAAGTCCACTTATGAAAGGGAACTCTACGCCCTCTACAAAGCTTTTGTCCACTGGAGACACTATCTGTTGGGAAGGTTCTTCTACTTGAGAATTCAAGTGGATCACGACACAACCTCTACGCCCTCTACAAAGCTTTTGTCCACTGGAGACACTATCTGTTGGGAAGGTTTTTCTACTTGAGAACTCAAGTGGATCGCGACACAACCTGTTCTCCCCGACACACTCAAACGCTGGATTGAAGCCATTGATCAATATGACTTCAAGCCAGTTTGGGTGAAGGGAGAGTACAACAAGGTACTCGATGCGTAGAGGGGTATCACAAGTAACTCGACGAGATACTTTGTCGAAAACGATGAACTCCTCGTGACCGTCTACCATGATAGTGGAGGGCGCGAAGCGCTTGGACGGTCTGCAATAAGGACGTAGAAAGGAGACGTGGTAAATATCGTGTATGTGAGCTTGTCAAAGATAATCAGGTAGCTTCACACGGAAGATGACCGAACTAGCGACATTATCAGAGCCGATGGCCTGAAGGATGCGGCATGGACCGAAGAAGTGACGCTCGAACTTGCGAAGCGTATCCGCTTCGAATTGCAAGTGGTGTGTGTTGACGAGCACATCGTCACCAACTTTGAATGGATGATCCATTCGTGATCGGTTCGCTCGTGCGGCCATGCGAGTCTTAGAGTCGGTTAGACTCTCGTGTGCGCACCTCATAATCGCCGCCATGTGGGCGATCCAATCATCAAGTGCAAGACAACGAATGTTTGGGAGCAACCGCGACGGTCATAGGAAATCCGAGGGTACGTGAGGGTGGTAACCGAGGTTGCAATAGAATGGCGACATCCCCATGGCTGGCGAAACGGCGTGGTTGTACGCAATCTCCGTGTGGGCTAAGTGCAAGTCCCTCCGCTGATCATCCCTAATAAACTTTCGGAGGATATTATCGAGAGTTTTATTGGTGACCTCAGTCTGATCATCCTTTTGAGGGTGGTACGACGATGAGAAGCGCAACTAGGATTCGTACACCTCGTGCAGGCGTCGCCAGAATGTGCCGGTAAAGCACGGGTCACGATTGAAGATGATTCTTTGAGGTAAGTCGTGATCTCTGACAACTTGGTCGAAGGCGATGTCGACGCCCTCACGAATGCTAATGCGATAACGGCACAAGACAAAACGTGCACGCTTCGCGAAGCGATCGGCGACGACCAAGATAGCATCATGACCGCGCTCAATGGGTGGGCGGAGGGGACCAACAAAATCCATCGAGATGGACTGCCAACGACCCTCAGGTAAGACACTCTTGGACATAGGCTTTGATGAAGTCCTTGGACTTCGACCAAATGCATAGGCAACAAACAGAAGCCAACGTCTTGTAGAAGCCCATACGACCGACAATTGCCTGGTCATGGAACCTGCTACGGCCTGGACTCGGAGTTGTCCAGTAGGGGATCGTAGATATGTGGTTCTAGCTAACCCGATTTACCATGCCAATACACAAGACCGTTCTCACGAAGGGAGTATGAACGAAAGCTCGTGCCAGTCTGCAGTGTCGAGTGGATGGCACGATAATCCGAACAGTGTTGGTACTGAGTGCAATATGCATCGATCCCCAACTGATCAACGGTGGTGATCGAGATGGCAGCAAGGTGGATGGATTCCTGATTGTGGTCAAGACGGAGGGTCAAGGCATCGACAACGCGCTTCGTTTCACCCTTGATAGGCTGAGTGGTGAAACTGAACTCGAATAAATCACACTACCAACGTGCCTGTCGAGAGGAAAGCTTGGGCTTCGTGAGGAAAGCCCGGACAATTGAGTTGTCTGTGCGCACAGTGGAGGGCGGCCTGTGTAGATAATGACGCCTATGCCGGGTAGCATAAACTACCACGAGAACCTCACGTTCATCGATAGTGTAGTTCAACTCGGCAGGCAATAGCTGACGAGAGTAGAAAGCGACCGGGCAATCCGCAACATGAACTTCGACGGTCCCATCCTCCGCGATGGTTGGGGAGTAAGTGACAAGAGGACTGTCAGTGGAGGGAGGTGGTGGGAAGATAGGCGCCAGTCGAGAAGTAGTGTCAGCACGAGGGGGGCGGAAGTGGGGAACATGGGGATAAGGTGAATCAGGAGGAGAGGGAAGCACCCAAGAAAGTGAAGGGACAGTCAAAATCGGGGAGGCGAAGAACCAGCGCACAAGTGACCACCTTCTTGAGGGCGCGAAAGGCGTCCTCTCAGAGGGGTGTCCAAAACCACAGCGGGTTCTTCTAGAGGAGGGTGGAGGTAAGAACGTAGGAATACAGAGCGTGTCCCCGGATGAAATTACTGTAGTAACTAATGCCCCAGGAAACTGTGAAGCTGCTTGACGGAGGTGGTCTTCTGAGGTGGTCTTCTGAGGTAGTTACTAAGCTTGGCATAGAAACCATGTTTGCGTAAGCGCTATAGGACATTGCATAGGTGTCTGAGGTGGTCTTCTGAGGTACGACTGTAGACCAAGATATCGTCCAGGTACACGAGAACGTATTCTTCAAAGATGTCCCCGAAGATATCGTTCATCGCCATCTGGAAGATGGTGGGTGCGTTGGTGAGGCCGAATGGCATCACCGTGAACTCGTAGTGGCCGAAGCGCAACTGAAAGGCGGTCTTCGGCTGGTCCTATGCCGCAACGCGGATCTGGTGGTAACCGCTACGAAGATCAATCTTGGTGAAGAAGCGATTGCCTGCCAGATGGCCAAACAGCTCGTCCGCGCGAGGCATGGGATAGTTGTTCTTAACCGTGTAACTGTTAAGGCCGCGGTACTCAATGAAGGGGCTGAGAGTTTCGTCTGCTTTGCTAGCAAAGAGGACGAGTGCACCCCAAGGGGAGTTACTGCGTTTAATGAAACCCAGTCGAAGGAGCTCTTCATGCTCAGTTGCAAGTATTCTTAGTTTCCTTGGGGTTGGTCAAGCTTTGGGCCACCCTAGCCCATCGAGTGCTCTACCTCTTGCAATGAAGATCACACGTTCTACCTCAATAGATTTCGCGGAAAACCAGCTATCTCCGAGTTTGATTGGCCTTTCCAATCATCTCTAGTTTTCACTAGAGGTGGGATCCCGCTGTATGAGAAATACGGGGGAAAAACGTCACGAAACTTTCGGATCAGGTCGTGAACGGCGAGCCATAAGTCGGTCGTGAACCGTGACAGTTCCTTGACGTCTATCGACACGAGACATATGTGTGGCCTCGACAGTGGACGGCGTAGGCACCTCGGATGTCGAGGGGGTATTCGCAGGCTCAGGGGTGGATGTAGAGATGGGAGCCACGGAGATTGAGGAAGTGACAAGGGGATCGGGCTCCAAAGAGATGAGCTCAACCTCTGAACATAGTGGATCATAGCGAAGAAATCCATGACGTTCACTGAGTAGAACGTGTCGGCATCCTGACGTATGAAGTTAGCAAACTGGCGAGGAGAAGTGAAGGCGATGTTTGGGTGGGACCCACAGGGACGAGGGTCCTTGGGAGGTAGGTCGGGAGGGGTGTCGCCCGTGGTTCCAATGAAGGCGACTCGATGGGTCTGAACACACTTCGTTTTAAGAAAGGGTGTCTCGGTCGCCCATTCGGCCTCTGTGCCACAGAATTGGCGAGACCAGGGAGTGCCAAGGATGAAGTCGTACCCAGTCGCCAACACGTCGAAGTATGCAAAGGAATGGTAGCGCCGAGGCGCCTGGGTACTACTCGGTGGCTGGAGGGTGAGGGAAAAGTGAAGGTCGGGGACCGTCTAATTGAAGAAGCGTTGCGTCTTGTTATCTTCGAGGGTAACGAAGATAAGGAGACCGAGACCTGAAGATAGCTAGACGAGCTTCCCCAACCATGCCAGGGTGAGCGAAATCTCCCTGCGAGCCGGAGTCCCATAAAGTGCGGTACACCCTCATAGATGTCCCCAGGCGAAAAGGTATGATGGTGAGGGTGCGATCAGGGTCAGAGAGCAGTGTGAGAAGACGACGCGGGACGATTACGTGTCTCATGCGCCCCTCCTGATGAACCTGAAAAATGCTCAAATCGAGGAGAGATGACACAACGTCATCGCGAGTCGCCAACTGAGCGCTATAACAAGTTGTGCGAATGGCGCAACACGTCATAACTCTCGGAGGGGAAGGACTAAATGTAGTGGTTTGTTGTGGGGCAGGCGATACCTTGACAGACGGCGGGCTAGAGGGTACTGCGTCTATTGTGTCCTGAGGATCCTCTGGTGTGGTAGCCAAAGGGGCAAACCACGACCCGATGGTCGGGAAGTCGGCTTAGTGCGAGGCCTTAACAGTACACTGTGTCGTGGCTAGCTAGATGGAACCCGTCGGGCGAGGCCGGGGGGGTGACTGAGATCCGTGTTGACGAGAAATGTCAGCATACTGTCGATCGAGGGTGGCATGGTATGGACGTCGTAAGGTGTGTCCATCCTGGCGGCAATGAAGGCAACCGCGACAGGCCTCGAGGACAGTGTGGTCCTCGGGGGATACGGCTCCACGAGGAGGGACGAAACCCTGCGGGAGGTCTACCTCAGGAACAACGAATGTGCGGGCGGCAGTCTGTGCAAGACAATTGCGAGACGACCCATGGCGGACATTGTCATATGCAAGCAGTTGGCCATCGGGACAGTCTCGTCATCCAAGTGGTACTGGATGACATCCCGAAGTACAAGGTCCTCAGGGGCATCCCCAAGGGAAGGGTCGATCTTTGTCGTAGAGTCGTCGCCGTACTCGAGGGAACTGTAGAGCCGAGAGAATGGTGCTCCAAGCTGAGATGGGCGTTGAAAGCGGCCAATGAAAGAAGAACGGCCTCGAGTGATGCCGCGTGACAGGGTGGCAATGGCGGGTCGCAAAGAGGATGGGGCGTCGGAGAAGCAACTCTGCATCCTCTGGTACTGTCGAGCAGCCTCGTAGGCTTGCTCTGTGGAAGAGGATGGGGCGTCGAAGAAGCGGCTCCGCATCCTCTGGTACTGTCGAGCAGCCTCATAGGCATCCTCTGGTACTGTCGAACAGGGTGCTTTGTGTCCACAGAGCAGGCCTACGAGAAGGTCTGTCGCCAGAGCTCGATGCGATAGTCAGTCAGAAGACTGACGAGGAACCTGTTGGTCAGAAAAACCTCAGGTAGGAGTGTCTCATCGCAAATGCGGCGGGCGTCCTGAAACACCCGAATGTGAAGCTCAAGGTCTGTCGGTGGAGAGGACCCGCGCCATCACGTCTGGGTGACCCTGTCTAAGGTGTCCATCGCATCGTGCAGAGTGCCATAGCGGTCATGAAGGAAGGCTGTGAAGTCCGCGAAAGTGGAAGCCTCACCCGTGCGAGAATGGGTATAGTAGCTCTCCCATGCGGTGAAAGCGCTGCCTCACAATTTAGTTGCGAGCAGAGAGCACCACAACTCCTGACTAGTGTTTGTCAATGTCAGCGTACGTGTGGCGGCCTGCAACCAATGCGACATGCGAAGTGTGCCATTGTAGTCAGCAAAATCCGGCAGGCGCACAAGGGGGGACCGCTGTGTTGACCGCCAAGGGAGAGGCTGATGGGCCTGCACTGTGGCGGCAAATGTCGGGGCCAGGGGGGGTTGAAGTGAGGGCACGCTGTGCGCCGTGGCTGCTGGTGGAAGGTTCAGCAGAGATGGAGGCAACAGCCACATGCAGCTGTGACAAGGTGGCGAGATAGGAGGGTAGAGGTGGAGGAGCAAGTCAAGGGAAACGAGCCTGCACGACCAAAGTGGAAGGGGCTGATAAGGAAGATGGAGGGTGAGCAGCCTGTGAAGGGTGAGGCTGTCTCAGGGTGAGTACCTCCGCCTAGAGCTGCGCAACAGCGACCTGTAAGGTAGCCACTCGTTGGGCGCCATCTGACTGACCCCGGACCCTGCCGTACTGGAGATGGACTGTCCGGTAGTATCCGACATTCCCAAAAAGAAACCGGACGAGGTTGTTGTAGTCGATGCTGCAGATGTAGCCATTGCTACTGCGCTAGCCGCTTATGCAGCGTCCCTCACATTCTCAAGATTACGGACCCTTGTTTCGGCCCTGAGCCTTCTCTCGTCTCCCGGTAACAAGACTTGGCGCACTAAAGGTACTCTAAGTGAGCCTTCTATGATCAGCTGTACCTTCACCACCCTCTGAACCGCTCATCGGCTAGGCAGACGCTATCTGCACAAATGTCAACTCCGGAATCTACTGCAACATGCATCAGACAGGTTCGAAAAATAAATAAAATAGAAATAATATCCGGCGAGTAACCTAGACTACTGGTCAAGCGATATCAACAACATTCACACGGACTGTACGCATAATCTAAGTTTACTTCGATTAGTTCTCTTATTACAACAACTTCGAAGAGAATTGGCTATGGTAGAACACTACAGTTCTAGTCTAGGCTGTCTGTGAGGTGTTAGCAATCTGTCAACCAACTAATCAGATGTATGCACAATTGGTATGGTTGTGTATGAAAATTGAGTCTCAATTGGAATCTTCCTCCCCTGTATCCAACGTGCCTGTAGGCATCATCAAGCAGCAATGTCTGAGGTGTGCATTAGTGGTCCATCCCTGTGCCCAAGGTGTATGCTTTTGCCCGTTCTTTACCCTCGAGTGCAACGAGCCTTACGTCTGACTGATCTGGCTGATCAAGAGGCAGTTTAAGGACCGCCCCCACGGTCCTCAGGAATTATTTTAGGTCGCAATCAGGACGACGATCATAACCAGTGTATAGATTAGACACCCGCCAGAAATATTTATAGACGGTCTGGTTTGCATTTGCTTAGGACTGGTCAGTCCGCACACCCCTTCTATCAGCGCAGCAAAGAGCCTTTAAAGGACAAACAGCATGGCCTGCGTGTACTACTCCCATGGGTTGGCATGGTGACCATGACCCGTGCTTTGACCAGGGCCCTTCAGAGGCACCGCCCTCTCCTTCCAGATGCGCCACCGAGAAGAATGTCGTCTCTCAAGGTAGAGCGCACACGACTCCTCACACAAAAGAGAGGACACTCGAGGTTGGACTCACTTCCTTGCGGTAAGACAAGTTTGAGAGGGTTGATAAGGGATGGCAACAACGTACCTCGAGATAGCTGCCCCAACCACAAAATTCTCACCAATTGAGCCAACGTGCATTTCGATGACCGGTCATAGCCTCGGTACCACCCACAACGCAACGCCGCCAAAGGGTCCTTACTGCACATAAAGCATCGTCAGCGCACCAAGTAACAATGTCGCCAGCGCCAGGTAAGCGGCGATCACGAACCAGCTCTGATACCAAATTGCACAGATGTCCAAGTAGTCGTGTACAAGCAGAGAGCACATTTGCACCGAGATCCCATCCAAATAAGAGCAATACAATGAAGTAATGAGCCGATGTTCAAGCCCTCAGGCCACACCAGCACAGTATCCAAAGTCGCTCCTCTCTGTTTGGCGCCCAGCGCCCAGCCTACACACTATCCTACCTACATCAGCATTCTCGCAACAGGCTCATTTCGACTCTCGAAGACCAATGTACATGACGTCAACACCATAGCCGACCTCTTACATGTACCAGGTATGTATCTCGCTTCCCCTCATCAGACCCTGTCCACCCACACTTGCCTCCTCCCTGAAGACCACCGATTGCCCTCTTACCCCCTAACGCCCTGCAGCCCGGCTATGGCTGCTTGCGCTCCGCTGCCCAGCAGCGCCCCTCTTCACCACTCACGCGCCCGCACGCGCTCTGGCCTCAGCGCAGCACGCAGCCTCTAAGGCAGCAGCGCAGCAGCGTGACCCCATTGCCTGCGCTGGCCAGACTACCCCGGCCCTGGCTGCTCTCCTTCCTATATGGAAGTGGCAGCCCCTGCATTGCTGCGTGTGGCCTGGCTGGAAGCTTCCAGTAGCTTCCTTTTGGGCCCCAGCCCCGAGACTGCAGTTGAGGGCCTGGACCCTGTACAGTTGGGCACGGCCTGAGTCTCCAGACTTGGGCCGTTTGCTGCATTTGCACAGGACCCCGGGGTAGGTAAGTCGACAGTACTGCTTTTGCATAGGCCTGTGGCCACTTCATGATTGACCGGCCCTGCTTTGTGTGTATGTGCCCAGGCACAACAGCCAAGGCCTCGACCAACTGTACGACGCAGCTTAGGGAGGCTCGCACGTCCACTCAACCAACTGGCGGGATGGAACAGAGTACCCATATATGAAAATGTCGAGTTTTGGCCTCTGATGAATATTCAGGCCCGCCTTCACTTACGGCGGCCACTCGGCTTGCTGGAGGCCTCTGCCCAGAACATGTGTTTGTCTGATAAGGCCCCGTGAGGGCTCGCTCCCCGCAGTAGCAGAAGATGTCTACAGGTCGGAATGCAGAGGGAGACCCCAACGACAACATAAAGCACGATTGGCTTATCAAGAACCTGCAGAAGATCGCCGGTTCACAAGGGATGAGTTGATATAAACGACCCCCCATATCGTTTCTTATTATGAGAGGGCTCATAGAGGTGTCAACATAGCTGATTGTTGAAGTTTGAAGTTTTCTCCGTGAGCCTCCAAATTAGGCCAGCAAGGTCTATTTCACCGTGCAGATCCCAAATTCAAGTTTCAGGGTCAAAGTCCCCCAAGTCTGAATAAGCCCAAGTCCGGTATCCAAGAGGCAGGGGTCAAACTCAAAGGTGCTCGATGACCGGTCAGCAGCACTCCAAAGAAAAATCTGGAAGGTACCGGCCCAATATTCCAAGCAAGCAGGCGAGGGGAACCGGTACCAGCCAAGTCAAGCACAGGCCAGTACGGCCGTGGCCCAGTCCAAGTCAATAAGAAGACTGGCCAGCCTCATTTTCGGCAGAATGCTCATTCATGAGAAGGTTAAATTGCTGCTGAGCGCTTGTGTGCTATTGTGAGTTGACCACGCGCTAGGAGCCCTGCTGGGCAGCATTGCCCTGTGGAAGAGTGGAGTGTGAGTAGGAGGCGGGTGTATCCAGAGATCAGATCCTCATATAGCAGAAGACCGTAACAGTTCCAGGAAGGAAGGAAGAGAGAGAGAGAGGCAGCGAGGTTGAGAGATACAAGCCGAGAGAGAGAGAGAGAGAGAGAGAGAGAGAGAGAGAGAGAGAGAGAGAGAGAGAGAGAGAGAGAGAGAGAGAGAGAGGAGGCGGGTGTATCCAGAGATCCTCATATAGCAGGGAGGAAGGAAGACAGAGAGAGAGGCAGTGAGGTTGAGAGATACAAGCCAAGAGAGAGAGAGAGAGAGAGAGAGAGAGAGAGAGAGAGAGAGAGAGAGAGAGAGAGAGAGAGAGGAGGAGAGCTATAAACCTGATTGACGCTGCTGGTTGTTGTGCTGATAACAGCTTGGTGACTCAAACTCTTAGACCGTGTAATATGATGTTGCGCTGACAATCACCTGGTGACTCGATCTCTCGCTTTGTAATATATGATCACTCATTGGAGATTGCAAGGATGATGAGCAATAGCAACTTCAGCAATCAAACAGCATCATACACATAAGACCAGATAGTCGTGACCTCGAACCAAGAGCAGAATTGCATCACTAGTTTCACCAAATGAGCACACCAAAAGCTCATAATTGACAATGCTGGAATATTCTCATCATCATCAACAAAGAACCAATGTTGATATCCTATCCAGTGCTCGGCGCCCAGACTACAGATGGCAGATCCTATCTAGCCTAGACTACAATGCCGAAGTTGACGACAACAGCTCTTCCGAAGTACGAGCAGATAGTGGCCAATGCCGCACGCTTCCAGCACCAGGTATGTCTCTCGCATCACTCACAACCTCGTTCCCCAACACACAGATGCCACATGCACCCAAGGACCACCCTGCGCCACACCCAGCTCACAGCASCGCAGCTCGKCTATGGCTGCCTGCTCCTTCCAGCTCGCCYGTGAGCGCTGGCCAGCTTCAACGCAGCAGCGCTTGCGCATCATGCAGCCAGCACCCGAATGTCCAATACGGAGGCAGGCCCTTTGCTATATGGAAGTGGCCTGCCTGCGTTCTGTCCCAGGCTGCGCTGGGCCTTTCCCAAGAAGCTTCCGGTAGGCCTCGGTAGGCTGAGGCCCAGTCCGAAACAAATCGGCCCAGGGCCTGAAGTGGTTGCTTGTGCCCAACTGCCTTCAGCCTGTGTTTGGCCCACATCCCGTATCCAGCCCAGGGCCTGCCTTCGATACATGCAAACAGGCGGCCCAGGGCCTGCGTTCTTTCAACCAACTGGCGCTGCGCAACTGCCTGAATTTCCTTAGTTGCATGGTGGCCGAAAATAGGGGCCCTCAGGTCCTCGTCGAGCCTGCCTTCACTTAGGGCGGCCGACGTGCTGCTTGACAGGGCCTGAAACGAGCTCATCGAGGCTGTGGCCTCGCATTCCCTCCATAGCTTCAACAGTCCTCTGAGAAGCTCAGTCTTCAATCATCGGGCGCTTTCCCTTCTGCAGAGATTTCTCGTATCAGGCTACAACCTGAGGAGCGGTCTGCATGAGTTCCTCCCTGGTGAACCATCGATCTTCCTTTGGATCAATATGATGCCGGAACCGAACGCGGTACTGCAGCTTCGGTTTCGGAGGACGTCCCCTGCCGGTCGGTCTTGGCACTGGCAGCTCCCTGTGATCCACAATGTCATCGATGTCCACCTCTCCGTCCATCGTTGAGGGCAGCATTGAGCGACGTGAGGGAAACTGGTCTGTTTCCTTGAAGGGTGCAAGCTTAGAGGCATGAAAGACAGGATATGTGCGGAGATGCCCAGGGATCCGGATTACATAAGACGGCCCATCCGGATCAGTCCTGACAATGCCTCCCATGGTCCAAAGTATTGAGGCATGAGCTTGCGGGAGATCCCGTGCTCCTGTCCCAATTCTGAGGACTTAACCCAGACTCTGTCCCCAACCTGGAATGTAGATGGGCGGCGGTGTCTGTTTTCAGATTCTATCATTGCCGCCTGTGCCTTTTGCATCTGTTCTACTGCCTGCTGCATCTTCTGCTCATACCGATATGCAAATTCTGAAGTATCGGGTGCACCAGTTGACTGATTTTCAGGTAGTAAGAAGTCTAGAGGCAGTCTAGGTTTGAAGGTCAGTAGCAGGCTGTTAGGGCTCACTCCAGTGGCGCTGTGCACAACATTGTTATACTGACTGGGGATGAGAGCAAGCTTCTCGTCCCAGTCAACCTGATTGGGCTTGATGTAATGCCCCAATAGGTGTTGGACAGCGTGATTCAATTGTTCGGCCTGACCATTGGCCTCGGGGTGATTACCCGAAGTCATCTGCAGCTGCATTCCCTGTTCGGCAGCAGCAGCCTTCCACAACTCACTTGTAAATCTGACATCCCTGTCACTCACGATTGACTGGGGTAGACCAAAATCTCTTACCCAGTTCTCTTTGAACAGTCTGATAACGTACTCGGTTTTCACTCTCCGGCATGGCTATCAACCTAGCATACTTACTAAATCTGTCCACGATGACAAAGATATGCCTCATCCCGCTCTTGCTGGTGACCGGCGTATCCATGAAGTCCATGGACAAACTCTCACCAGGCCTTTCCGAAATCGGAAGGGGCTTCAAGAGCCCAAGAGGAGCCTGAGTACGTGGCTTGTCTCTCTGACAGACCTGACAGGTCTCCACGTACAGCTGGGCATCTCGCATCATCGTGGGCCACCAGAACCGCTGCAGCAGATT